GATGAGATTCAGAGGGATGGTGTTTTTGCCAAAGTACTGCCACGCGGCCGCGCTCCATTTATACGCGGTCCACGCCCGTCCTGAAACGCGGCCGCCCTACATTTCTGCGCGGTCCGCGGTCCCAACTTCAGAGAACAGAGTTCAAGAGTCCAAGAGCCAACGCGGTCGCACTCCCTTTTTCGCGGTCCGCGCCTACCCCGCAGGGGCATTTTTGTCCAGATTTTCTAGCTCGGTATAAATAGATCTTATTAACATTTTTAGGTCATGTTTTAGCTGTTGAACAAGAGCTGCGCTCGTGAGAAGTATTTTGTAGACTATTGTGGCAATTTTACTCTTGAATATCATAGATTTTAAGTAGTAATCAATTATTATGTTCATTTCATCATCTATTTCTACTGTTTCTTCTTTAATTATGTCTAGCTAAACCCCTTAGCTAGGGTTGTGGCTCAACCCTAGTGTGGGTAGTTAATGGGTGTTGCATTCTAGGGTGAGATTGAGATTGGGTATTTGTTATTTGGGTTGATTTTGTGTTTCAATCTAGAATTTGTGGTTGCAAACATGAATTCAAGCTTAGTGGGTCTAACTCTTCTTGAGAGAGAGAGTCATATGACCCTAAAAGTTAACCCAACAAGGAATTGGGATGGACCCATGAGAATGGTAGTCCCAATTAACGGGTTAAACCTCGAAAGAGTAACTACCCTACTTGAGCCCTAGTTGCCCGGTCTAATTGGCCTACCTAATTGGTCTCGAGAGAGTTAATTGGGCAAAATCGTTCTCTCTACCGAGAGGTGTGAGAATGAGTGCAATTGTGCAACGGCTATAGCACTAAACCCAGATTTATCAATCTCCCCTTAGTAGCTTCTACCCGTTAGCTAGCCACCTAGGTAGTGTCACAACCCTAGTGCCTTTTTCCTATATTAAGCACAACTTAGCAATATTTCCTTAGCATAATTTAGCTTTAATCCTTAGATTACAATAGTAGTTTTAAATATAAAAACCCTCAAAAATGTTAGGAGTGCAATTAGAAGTACAAACGCAATTCTAAACTAAACAGGCAATACAACTCCATTCCAAGCTCCCTGTGGAAATTCGACCCCGATCCACTATTCGGGTATTAGTTATTGCTACCCACTTTCCTGCCATTGTGTAGTGTTGAGACGGCCGCGATAAACTTTTTGGCGCCATTGCCGGGGAGCTTACGGTGTTGACTATCGGTTTAGTTAGTTTTGTGTTTTGCTTCTCTTTCCTTCTTGTTTACTAATTCTATTTTTGTCAATCATTCAGGTACTATGGCTCTCAATGCAAACGACCCTCTTGGCAACATGAACGCGGGGGAGGAGGTAGAGGATCTTGAGCCCGAAGAGGTTATACCACCTCAAGTTCCACGTTAAGGCCATCCGGCCAACGCAAATGACAACAATCCTATTCCAGACCCTCCTCCGCCACCGCCAACAGCAGTCCCAAGAGTTCTTCCTAATCAAGGGTACGCGAGTGCCATCGTTCCTCCCCAAATCCGGGCGGGGAACTTTCAAATGACAAATGTCATGTTGACCTTGCTCGAGCAAAGGGGATATTTTACGGCCACCTCCGACCAAAATGCATACAAGCACTTGAAGGGGTTCTTAGATACTTGCTGGGGCAGCAAACAAACAAACGTGTCAGAGGATGCATTGCGATTGAGGCTTTTCCCGTTTTCTCTTCGGGGCAAAGCGTTGGACTGGTTAGAAAGGTGACCAAATCATTCTATCACCACATGGGATGAATTGGCGGACAAATTTATTGCCAAGTTCTTTTCTCCAAGTCATATGGCGGCTCTTCGGGACGAGATTCTAGCTTTCAAGCAAATGCCAACGGAACCATTGCACGAGATCTGGGAGCGATATAGAACAATGGTGAAGGAGTGCCCTAACAACGACATGACTGAGGCGATGATCCGGCAGACTTTCTATTGGGGCATCAACACCACGAATCAGTGCATTGTGAACCAATTGGCCGGTGGGAACTTTATGAAACTTTCTTACCAAGAGGCATGTGACGTACTTGATGAAATGGCCGACACCTCTTCGGCATGGCTAGGCCGAGCGAATGTACCCCAAGATATTGCCGAACTTACAACAACAATGAATCAGTTGGCGAAGGCGCAATTGCAACAAGTACAAAATCCGCGCCAAGTCAATGCAATGGAGAATGTTTCTATGCTAAAAAGGAGGCAAAGAGGGCAACAACAACCTCAAGGTAATGGTGAGCAGTTTGACAACAACAATGATGGTGGTGGTTATTTGAACGAGTGTTATGATGATCAAAGTAAGGAATGCCAATATGTCAATAACTACCAAGGAAATAGAGGAAATCAAGGGAATCAACAATGATGCCCCCAAGGTAATTGGGGCAATCAACAAGGAGGCGGCAAATGGAATAACAATAATCAACAACAAGGTGGTAACAATTGGAACAATAACAATCAGAACACCAATTGGGGTAATCAAGGTAATAACCAAGGCAATTGAAACGGGAACAACAACAATTGGAGCAACAACAATAGCAATCAAGGAGGGTGGAATAATGGTGGTAAGGGGCAAGGCTTTCAAAGGCCCCCCATGTTCCAACAACCAAACAATCCACCCCCCTTTCAGTCACAAGGGCCTAGTTCTTCCGGAAGTGATATGGGACGGATAGAGATGATGTTCGAGCAGATGATGAAAAAGAACCAAGATTCTGACGCACAATTGGCTTCACATAACACATCTATCCGGAACCTAGAGGTGCAAATAGGACAAATTTCTCAAGCTTTAAATACCCGACCTAAAGGTGCGCTACCAAGTGACACGGTAGTGAACCCGAAGGGGGGTAACAATCATGTGATGGCGGTTACAACTAGGAGTGGAAGAGGCGGTGATGTGCATGCCTCGGTTGAGAATCAGGTTGTGAATGATGAAGTTGAGTTGCATGATGATGATGTACCTTTGAATGTTGACAATGTGGTTGAACCAATGGTGACAAATGATGTGCGGATTGATATTGATGATGAGGCCGGGGTAGAGACTCAAGATGCCGTGAACCCGTCTAGGGAACACATTATTGATATACCTGAGCCGGCGGTGCCCAAGGCCAAGGCACCCTTGCCTAGACCACCTCCACCATATCCTCAGCGGTTAGCAAAGCAAAAGAATGACAATCAGTTCAAGAAATTCATAGACATGATGAAGAGCCTCACAATCAATGTTCCTTTAGTGGAGGCACTTGAACAAATGCCTGGGTACGCAAAATTTATGAAGGATTTAGTCACCAAGAAGCGTTCTATGGAGTGTGAAACAATAAAGATGACGCACCAAGTTAGTGCCATTGTGCATTCTATGGCCTCGAAACTAGAAGACACTGGAGCTTTCACTATTCCTTGCACTATCGGGAGTGCGGAGTTTGCTAAGTCCCTATGTGACTTGGGGGCTAGCATTAATCTGATGTCGTACTCAGTCTTCAAGACTTTGGGAATTGGGCAACCTAGGCCAACCTCCATGAGACTTCAAATGGCGGACCGGTCGATGAAGAGGCCTCTAGGTATAATCGATGATGTGCTTGTCCGGGTGGACAAATTCATATTGCCGGCCGACTTTGTCATATTGGATTGCGAAGTGGATTTCGAAGTGCCTATTATTCTTGGAAGACCTTTCCTAGCTACGGGGAAGGCATTGGTTGATGTGGAAGCAGGGGAGTTAACATTCCGTGTGGGAGATGAGAAGGTGGTATTTCATGTGTGCAAGTCAATGAGGCAACCCAATAGTACGGAGGTGTGTTCATTTGTGGACATTGTCACGGCGGTGATAGTGGATGACACAAGTGCCTTGATTAATGTTGAAGATCCTCTTGAAGCCGTGCTTCTTAACATGGATGCCAATGATGATGCCGGTAGAGTGGAGTGCGTGAATGCATTGCATGGAATGGGTTCATATTCATATGAGCCTAGGAAACTATCTTTGGATCTTGAAAATCGCAAAACTCCGCCAACCAAGCCATCAATTGAGGAGCCACCGGTGTTGGAGTTGAAACCACTTCCTCCACACCTCAGGTATGAATTCTTGGGCTCTAATTCTACTCTTCCAGTTATTCTTTCTTCTTGCCTTACTAACTTGCAGGTTGAGGCCACTGTGGAGGTGCTTCAAAAGCGAAAAAGGGCAATAGGATGGACTTTGGCGGACATCAGGGGAATAAGCCCCGCATTTTGCATGCATAAGATCATCTTGGAGGAGGATGCACGGCCATCTCTTGAACATCAAAGGAGACTCAACGAGGTGATGCAAGAAGTAGTAAAGAAAGAGGTTATCAAGTGGCTTGACGCCGGTGTGGTTTACCCGATCTCGGACAGTTCATGGACCTCTCCGGTCCAATGTGTGCCAAAGAAGGGTGGAATGACGGTAGTGACCAATGCCAACAATGAGTTGATTCCTACTCGGACAGTTACGGGTTGGAGAGTGTGTATGGACTATAGAAAGCTGAACAAGGTGACAAGAAAAGATCATTTCCCACTACCATTCTTGGACCAAATGCTTGATCGTCTTGCGGGCCGGGCCTTTTATTGTTTTCTAGATGGCTACTCGGGGTATAATCAAATTCTCATTGCC